AAAAGAAAAAAAAAACCACTTCCTAAAAGTCCAATAAAGAAAAAAGTTGTTAGCAAAGAGATGGTTGTTGGGGTGTTTGGTTGAGCTCGCCTTAACGGGTCCAATTTACAACGAAGCGTTTGTTTTATGCATTTTATTGAACATGTGCCAACGACAAGAGACAATCGAATAATGAGTGTGGGACACGAGTGGCTATTTTATTTGTCTTATCCTCCATGTAGCTCCATGAAGGTGTGGGACGAAGCCAATCTACGTCCAAAACCTTCATCATTTTTAACCCAACACGAGTTGGTTCTGTATTTTTTTTTTTATTTCTAAACAAATCAAACACAATGGCTATCACCGGAGCCATGGCAAATGAGCTCGGAAACTCAGCCGTCAGATCTTCCTCCGGTGGATGGAGATCGGCACGGCTCATCATCGGTAAGTAGGAAAAGTCGAGATCCTCACTCACTAATATTTTTTCTTCACTAATTTGAGCTAATTCTGTTTTTTTTTTTTTCCCTTCTTTCCTCTGTTTTTGTAGGTGTCGAAATGGCGGAGCGATTCGCGTATTACGGGATATCGTCGAATCTGATAACGTACTTGACTGGACCATTGGGTGAGTCAACAGCTGCAGCTGCGGCCAATGTGAACGTTTGGATTGGAACGGTGTCGTTTCTGCCTCTTCTATGGGCGTTTGTAGCTGACTCGTTTCTCGGTCGTTTCCGTACTATCATCATCTCATCTTCTATCTACATCTTGGTATGTTAACAAGTTCCTCTCACACATTTCAGTTTTGGTTATTGTTGCGGATCTTAGAATGATGTGATGAAAACATACAGGGACTTGGGTTGCTGTCTTTTTCAGCCATGATTCCTTCTCACTACAAAGATCCGAATCAGCTCGTCTCCTCTGCTTCTCAGTTCCAAGTGATTCTCTTCTTCTGTGCTCTGTATCTTGTAGCAATAGGACAAGGCGGTTACAAACCTTGTATTAAGGTATTTGGAGCCGATCAATTCGATGGAAATGATCTAAAAGAGGCAAAAGACAAGAGTTCTTTCTTCAACTGGTTGACGTTTGGAAACTGTATTAGCATATTGATGACTCGTTTGGTCTCTATATCTATCCAAGAGAACCTAAGTTGGTCTCTGGGATTTGGTATTCCAAGTGTTTCCATGCTACTTGCTCTGTTTCTGTTCCTCCTTGGAACTACCTCTTACCGCTTTAGTACTGAAAGAGGAGAGACGAAAAACCCTTTTGCTAGAATCGGTCATGTTTTCAAGGAGGCAGTAAAGAACAGAAGACAACCCGATTTCGATATAGCTAACCCAAACGATACCCTCCTTCTCTTGACTCACGAGAGCTCCAAGCAATTTAGGTAACATAATTTAATAGAGGTTTTTTTTTGTTTTTAATAGAATTGTTGTGGCCACATTGTTCTCATACCGTTTTGGTTCTTGTTAAGAATTCCAAATCGATAAGTATAGAGGGGATAATGACTTAATCT